TCAGTGCGGTAGCCAAACTTGGGCATCTCGAAGGGACAGCCAGGTTTTAGTCTAATTAGATTATTAAATAGCTTAATGTGTATTAAGTAGTAAATATTTAATAAAATTTTAGTACATGGTTATCAAAGGAAAAAAAAAAAAAAAAAAAATTTTAATTTTATTTAAAAAATTGTAAATACTTTTTAAAATTTGCCTAGAATACAGTTTAAGGAATAATAAATAAAGTAGTAATATAACTGTCTTTAAAAAATATAATAATAATAATAATAAAAATAAAACTTTAGTATAAATTAGCTTTAAAGTTGTATTTTTTCAAAATTTTATTGTATTTAATTTAGTACAACAATAAGAATAAGTTTTTTCTTAAAATTTTTAATAAATTATAAAAAATATCAAATTTTTAAATTGTTATAAATTAGACCTGTAGATTGATAGCATAGCAATTATACTTTCAGATTGCAAATTGAAAGGTTGCTGGTTCAATTTCTCTTAGCAGCAAAATAACAAAAAACCAAATATAGAAGTGAAACATCATGGGGTACAGAGAACTCAGAACATCTATAAATGAACATATATGGTGAATAGTTATTCCAAGAAGTTGTGGCTATGAAGTGAGACATGTTAGAACCCTGATTTGGAATAACCAAAGTTACGAGATATAATATGAGGTCTAAGTTTGAGAGGGTACTACATAAACTCATGGTGCCACCTGATTGGCAGATGAAAAGTCCTGTTGATCATTATAAAAAGGTAACCCGATCACTTCAGCAGTTGGTGTGGCAGTCACATTTGGCTACTCAATAAAGTAGAGAGTAAAGTTGGGCTAGGATACCCAGTGTGAATTCATAAATCTGGTAAAAAGGATCAATGAGTTATAGAGTTGGGACCAGGTCATGGCAAGACATATCTAAGATAAAAAAAAAAAAAAAATCTAATCTAATTGTAAAAAAATTATTTTATTTAAAAAATAATTTTTAAAATAGTTTATGTAAGCCTATTTTAATGAAATACAAGTCTAAATATAGTTAGTTTATTTTTATATTTTACATAGTAAATTATATTATAAATTTTATAACAAAAACTACATTCCTTATAACTTTTTATTTACTAATTCTATTTTAATAATTTTACTATCATTAGAATCAAAAAACTAGCTTTATAACATAATAAAATATCAGAGATTAATTAAATAAAAAATTTTTATTTGTATTTTTGTAAAACTTTTAAAATTTTTTAATAAAAAAATTGATCTCAAATTGATCAGCTTGTTAATATAACTTTTGTTAAGTTAGCTAACTTTTAAATATATCAATTTAAAATATAAATAAAAGGATTACATATTAAATAAATTTAATAAGTTAATAATAAAAATTTTTTACAATTTACTTTTTAAAACTGTACTAATTTTAGTACATTGTACTAAATTTAGCACAGCAAACGGATAGCCATTAAAAAAAAAAATGTCTTACTGCATTGACTTTATAAAAGGTTTCCAATTTAAATTTCATTCATTCATTCGGTGAGTCCTAGTAACATAAAATTATTGATTTTGGTAGATGTATAAGGTTAATCAAATATTAAATTTATAAATTATATACAACATAAAAAATTTATAACTACTGTGGCCATCAGTTTTTGGCGTTGTTCTTTAAGTTTCCTGGTTGCTTTTACATATTCACCCAGTGGTGTTGAGTCAGAATCCACATTTTTTAAAAATGCTTTCTTTGAACATTAAGAAATATTTGAATTAGTTATAGAACTAGAAATATTTATAAAGAAAAAAAAAAAACTTACAACTTGTGCTCGATTATTAGGACTGAAATCAATTCGTGAACGTTCTTGCTCTATGAATTTAGAATTTTGTTCCATCTATAATTAATCGGTTCGTATAAAAAGGTTAGATATTGTGCCATAATGTTCACTGATAACATAAGAATACCGTGATTAAAAGGCCTACTTTTTCAACAAATTGTTGAAGTTGCCTGTTGAATTTAGCATTTTTTGAATTTTTAATATGTCGTTTAATCTATAACAGGAAAAAATAAATTTATGAATTGACAAATTTACATTTGATATAAAGAATAAAAAAAAAAGGATTTACAAACTTGAATAATGGCAGGTATTATCAATTCTGGAAATGCTATTGACAAACTGTAACATGAGTAATACTCGAACAATAGTTCGACAAGTTCTTCGCATATACCATCCTAAACAGAAGCCAATTAAAAATACACCAAAATATAATTTAAATTAATAAATTATGGATTAATAATAGTCATACCTGATATACTTTTGTATGTAAATAAGCTTTTGGTGTTTTTAAATTTGATGAAAAATCCAAAGGTTTTAAGGTTGCAAGTTTTGGTTTTCTATGAATTTCTGCTGAATGTAAAATGTCAAAAAGATATGGCGCAAGAGGGATAAAAGTTCCCGTTTTTTTGATAAGATGAATCATACTACGAATACAATGGAAATGAAGCGGAAAGTATAGTGCTGTAATATTCAATCTAATAAAATATGGATTATTAAAAAAATTAGTATTATAATATTAAAATTTTTTAAAAAAAAGTTATACATACCTTATTACACCAGTGCATACTTGCACTAACGGATAAATTAACTCCTGTAATGAACCTTTATTATTGGTAGAACTTTGCGTTTGATCACAATAATTAGCCAGCACTTTTGACCAATATTCAATACAATGTATATATTGCCAATTGTACACAGCATTAAAGGTTTCCTATACAGTAATAGTAATGATTAATACAGATCATTATAAACTTGTCAATATAATACGGTTTTTTTAAAATGAGAGAATTCTCACTTCACTCTTGTTATTACTAGAATTCCTTAGATGAATAGCCAATTGTCGAATATAATTAAATGCAGATTGATATGAACTTTTAAGATTAATTCCATATATGTCAACTGCACAATTACTCATAAGATTGATGGATGGTATCGTAAAGATGGTAGTTTCTTTGCAATATCGGACAAAAGTAGTATAAATACCCTGAAATTGAATATTATTTTTAATGTGAACGGATGATCATTAATAAATGAATAATTAAAAATTCACAATGTCATACCTTTAGGCAAAGGTCAATAAAAGGTGGTGGCGCAACAGATGCAAGTTTGCGAATATTAAGAAATGCAGCAATTCGAGCTTTATCTTGCGCTGTTCCCCAGATATCAAGTAGTTGCTTTGAAATTCAATGATATTTTGTAAGTATACATGAATAATTTTTGAAAATACGAAAAAGTTGCATACTTTTAGGTAATGTTTAGATAATTTAGGAAAACATGCGTAATAAGGGACAGCCTTCTCTGACTCTCTCACAATAAAGTAAATCATATCATTTTCAGTCACTTGTTTGAGCATATACAGAACACTACTCAAGAAGGACTTTACAAGGGGCTCCAATGTTTTCCATTTTCGATGCGTACACGGAAGTTTCCTATTATAAACAAAATTTTTAGAAAAAAAAAAACCGCATAAATAGAATTATATAAAATAGAAACCAACTCTTTAGTTAAATTATGATTTTGTTTAGTTAAATGATGATCGAAGACCCCAGTTGTATATTTCAAGCAAATAACCACAAGATTATTGAATACTATAATAAAATATCGATAAGTTATATAAGAATTAAATTTTAAAGGATCAGAGCCATTTAACTAATAATAAACCTGCTGGATCATTAATTTTATACGAATAACGTCTCTCTTCACCATCATTAATATGAGCAGCCGCACGAAAAGCTAATAACAATTTTTGCAAAGATCGCAAAGAATATGACTATTGAAAAATACGAATAAAAAATTAAAGAATTGAAGAATTAAAGAATTAAAGAAGTAGGGATGAAATCAATGAGCATTTTTAATTCCTATAAAGTCTAGCTATTACCTGAGTAATGGCCTCTTGCAATTTCTCAAGTGTTGCAGTAGTCAAAGTCGGTATGCTATCATCAGCATTACCAAGTTCAGTTTCTTTCAAGTCATTATCGGAATTGTCTACTTGCATACTCTAAAAAAAAGTAATAGAAAAGATTTGTGTATATGATACAAAATTCTTTATTTTTTATCAATTAACAAGTTACCTCGAAATTGTGTTTGGATTCATTGGAAAGTATATCTTCATCATCGCCATTTTCGTCAATGTCACTATCATAATTTTCATCAAAATTATCATCAAATTCATCATCAAACTCAAAATCATCATCATCATCATCATCATCATCAGATAAATCAAAATTGAGCAAGTCCATATCATTTTCCTGAAGATATTTGTAAAATTCCGGATCTTTTTCTTTTAATGACTCTAGTTGTTCTTTATGTTTTGATGCTTCATTAGACTTTAAACTACTTCGATTTGTTTTTATTTGATCGAAATCCAGGTCTTCCATTTCATCACTATCTTCTTCTTCTTCTACCTCAAGGTCATTTTCGATTAATTCTTCCCGATCCTCAAATAAATCTTTCTTTTTTTTCTCATTTTTTCTATTCGTATTATTTTTTTTTTTAGTAATAGCTTTTTTTAATTTTTGTACCTTACGTCTTTTTTCAATGGTTTCTTTTAAATGTTGTTTCTGAAATTTTTTAGTGGATTTTTTGATTTTCCCCATTATTGTACAGTATAAAAAAAAAATGATTATCGTTATCGAAAAATTTTAAGGAATTAATATTTCACACTCATGTAAGGATTTTCTTCTGATTGGTTGATCTGGACCGGTTTAATTTTATAAACTTAGCGTTAATATTAGTATTAAGCGTTAGATAAAATTTCTATATAAGTTGGCCTGATTTAGAATTAGTCAATTACGTGACCTCTAGTGATTGAAAGAACCAACTACCATTAGTTGAAAATTAATCGATTTCAGAATTTGTAACTACGTAGCAAATCGTTTAATTATCTACATAATATTTTATAAATATATAAAGTATATATCATTGTTTTTTTAAAAAAACCCGAGTTTACTAGTGATTTGCACGTGTTATAAGTAATGATTCATATTAAAAAAGGCATGAACTTAATTCAAATTCTGCGATAATCTGCAAAATAAAATTTTGCAATTAAAAATTCTCTATACTTGCGCATGCTAATGTATGTTAATTTTGCGATTATCCACGATAAAATCTAATTTCCGCATTTTCTGCATCAAAAAAAGTAGGCGAAGGAATATCAATAGGGTTGTGTTACGTACATATATTATTACAACGTTTCAGTAATATAAAATATATACCAGCTTTACAAAAAGATCAGCCAACATTATGCATCAGTTGATTTAAATATATGATTCGAATTGTCAATTCAAAAAATAACGTCAAATTACACAAAAAACAGTAATTTTTATTTATATCAACCCGTGACCCAATTATCGTTATCGTTATATTTTTCTTTAAAGCCTGTAAAATCGTAAAAAAAAAATCAAGATAATTTTCTTCTTTTACATATATATATGTATACGTAATAAATACTGTAATATATATATATATATATATATATATATATATATATATATATATATATAGAAATATATATATATAGAAATATATATATATATATATAGAATATATAAAGCAAATCCCGAAGTACGTACGTACGTATTAGATTCATTCAATTATACGTACGTACACTGAACTATTTGAACACAAAATCACATCCCTAATTTGTTATTAAAATTACATTAAGTATGGTATCTCATTTTTTTCTTTTAACCGAACACAGTATATATATGTTGTAAGTGAGAATGGAACCATAATAGGTTCGGAATCAAACTTTAGATTAGAACGGAATAATTATACTAAAAAATCCCAGCCCTAACCTTAAAAATCAAAATTTCTGTTCCCACTTACGACATGCATTAGTCGCCGTATAAAAATTAGTCAGTGATATCCAGTGATTAATTTACAAATTTTAGATACCAATTTTCAAAAGAGACTGTATAATTTATTTAATGATATAATTATATATATATAGTATGATATTGCATAAAAGACGCTACTTATTAGAATATTATAAAGTGACTAATTTATCGTAATCGTGAGAATAAAAAATACCAAGTCATTTGAATACGAAGATTGTAATGACACATTTTGTATTGAAAGAATTACGTTTTAATTTTTATCGATCAAACGATTAGGTTTACTTGTAACGAATCTCATAAAAAATCTCATAAAAAGCAAATTTTACAATTTCAAAATTTAAAATTTTCAAAAAGTTTCTTACTGTTTTTCTTTCTTTTTTTAAAAAAAAAAAATCATGGCAGAGGTATTGTGCAAACCCAGGAATGTTTCCCATACTTTGTATAAGTTAAATGATTGGATTGAAAAGGGCATGATAAATGTTAGTCCTGAATTTCAACGAGGTATATATATATATATTTAATCAAAAAAAAAAAAAAAAGATAGAAAAAAATTTAACGATTATTCTATTACTACTCTCTCAAAGATATCGTATGGAAAGGTAGAATTTTTATTTCAATCCTTTAATAAGTTAATTAGTTATTATTGCAACAAACTTAATTAAAACCAATAATAGATATCAAGCAATCACACTTGATCGATTCTATCCTCAAGAATTATTACATCCCTCCAATCATTTTTTCATGCAAGAAAGTAGACGATAATCGTATGATACGAAAATGTATCGATGGAAAGCAAAGATTAACATCAATTAGCAGGTTAATGTAGCTCAAACGATCGTTATTATTATTTTTTTTTGGTTATTTCTGACGGTCAATTTTTTTATTATATAATGATAGATTCATGAAGAATGAAATACCTCATTTAGTGCCTTCCGAAAAGACTAGTTCGAAGCGCTACTTTACGAATCATAAAGGAGCAAGATCAATAACTGACACTGAGAGAGAGTTGTTTGAATGTTCAGAAATTGTGTGTAGTAAGTATACAATAATATAATATATCGGATATATATACTATATATATATGTATAAAATTCTTTCTTTACAAATACTTATGTACATACGTACATAAAAATATATATTTCTAATTACAATAGTTGAATATTATGATCTCACACAAATACAAGAACGAGAAATCTTTAGTCGTGTTCAACTTGGGATTTCATTAACTCCAGCAGGTAATATAAATTTAACAATGATAATACAGTAATATGATAAGATGTTGAAATTAATTTATTTTACTTGTTTATTTAGAAAAACTTTGGGCAATCAGTAGTACGATGTCAGAATTTTTGCATAAAACTTATGAAACTTATAATATTATTACACAAATCATGGATACAAAACGTGGAAAATTATTTCATGTTATGGCACAATTATTTTTCATTATTGAAAATGAACCTCAAAGACTTAATGCAAGACCTAAAGTTATTGAAGAATACTTAAGAAATACTCGTGAAATTCCTATTCATTTTCAAGAAACAATTAAACGTGTTTTTGATACTTTGACATTATTGATAGAAATCAATCCTGATATTTTTCATAAAAATCATCGATTATCACCTATTGAATTCGTTTTCTTTTCCTGGATTATCGCTAAAAATCAAAGGTTTTCTTTATTACAATGTCAAGAATGTTTACTTAAGATGAAGAAACATGTAAGAGAACATCATGAAGATACACGGTTTAATGATAAGGTTTATACAACTTTAAAAATATTCATGGATAATCTCGACTTTGAAGATTTTAATGATTCATCGTCGTCTTATGAGTCTTATGATAATTTGCCAGCCAAGAAACGGATTAAATCTACATGAAATTTTATCTTAATATGTATATACTTTTTTTTTTTCACCAATTAATATTATGTAGCAATGGCAATTTTGCATTAACAATTTCTTATGCTGCTTTATGCTTAGCATTTAGTTTTGGTTAATAAAAATAATAATAATAATTAGATAGGTTTTGTTACTGTGATTTTTTTGAATCATTTATAAAAAAATAAATACAGAATTGTGTGATTTTTTTTTTTTTTTGTATTACACGATGATCTTGCGATTTGATTGGTAGATTAGTTACTAATATTAATATAGTATTAGTCAACTCGAAGAAACCTCGGAGGTTACCCTACGGTTATAATATTAATAACACGCATTTTAGAGAACAATAAAAAAAAATTGTAATTATTGAAAGGTCGAGGGAAAATTTTATGTGCGTTTTTTAATTTAAAAGAAATCAGCCCTTTTTACATGGCGTTTTAACACGGTTTGCAGAAAATTCTCTGTACTATTTTAGTTCTGAAGAAATTGTCATTACCCTGCAGCAAAAAAAAAAAAAAAAAAAAGCCAACCTTCCCAATCAAAATTGCACAATAAGAATTAAAAATTCATTTAGGTCGTTGTGTCTGATACTGTATCACATGATCAAACATCTTTTTTTTGAATAACTATTGTAAATGAAAATGAACAAATATGATTATTGTGAAAATTTTTAGTACGTAATATAGCATTGAAACGTTTATCCGATTTTGAATCTTAAAATACTGTAATCAAAACAGGGGCGTATTGTACCAAATTTATATTTACGTATATAATTCATACATCTGATATAATTTACTTTTAATGAAAAAAATACGTGAATTTCAAAAACTTTAATTATATTAAAATTTAGGTCAGTGTTATGCGTATAGTGACTTCTTTTTTAGAGTGGCAGAGATTGATGGCTTTAAACTTTTTGAACTATTATTAATTATCAACTATTATCAACTATTATCAACTCTTATCAACTATTATCAACTATTATCAACTCTTATCAACTATTATCAACTCTTATCAACTATTATCAACTATTATCAACTATTATCAACTATAATCAACTATAATCAAATTCATCGGTTTTTTTGGAGACCACGCCTGAAATCTCCGTATTTATTGGCAATACTACAGTCTTGTATAAAAAAAAATTTATTTTACTTTTTTATACAGTAGATACTATATTTTCTATACACATTATATAAACGAGTCACCTAAGGGGTTTACTGTATGTGTTCTAAATGCAGTATATTATTTGGTCAAATGACCTGCAAGTTTCTGTACAACTATACGAACTTAACTAGTATTTAATAGTATTTGATAGTATTATAATAGTTAGACCAGTCGTTGTTCTTAGATTATTGATCGGTCAAATCCGACTGATGTAATGTATATCTTGCAACTTTGGACTTTTGGATCTCAAAGATTTTTATTTCCCAAAACCACGTGATATTCAGACTTTAAACCGACAATCAATCAAATCAATCAGTTATTAGAATTAAAGAACATATTGATCAACTGTTACTCTAAAAAATAATCGCTTTCATTTACTACAATTAATAAATAAAATTTTATAATTCTTAATTACTTAAGGCTCACATCATAGTATTCAAGTAAGATTTTTTTTTCAATATATATGGTTAGTACAAAAATACGATGTAATACGATGTATCAATTTATCCGCAAGTTACCCACGGTTACCAGCTATCTCTGAACTTGACTTAAATAAGTAACGTTAAGTACGGTACAAATATTCATGCAGGTATTGTGTTCCGAAAGATTGGTATAACAAAATTATTATTTTTTATTATTATTCACATGATTTTTACATAATTTTTTTATTGAAGAAGCTCCAGTGTTGTCAGAGGCAATCGAGCTAGAAAAACTTTGAACTAACCTCTTTCGATAATGATATGCAGATTGAAGAATAGTTCGTAATACTAGTTTTGACAGATTTTCTGCATAACTGATAATATTTTAAACAAATTAAATACGTACGTATAACCTTATATAAAATATATAGAATGAATTTTTTTGGCGAATAAGCAACTGCAAGATATTATTGATCAACTTGCTTTTTTTATATTCCGAGATTAATTTTATCATTTTCAATCTCATTTCCTATTTTATATTATCTTTTAAATTAAAGGAAGATATGATATGAATAAACAAAGAAGTGAAAAAATTATTTAATTAAACGAATTCTTACCAATAAAAATTTGTACATCCTCTAAAACTTGCCGCTATAGGCTAACATTAATTAAATTATCATTAAAGGCATCATTAAAAGTATCATTAAAGGCATCACTAAAGGTATCATTAAAGGTATTTTCCCACTCTTGCTTATTAAGTAAAATAACTGTTAAAAAAGAATGGTAACAGATACGTACTACTGATATATATATAAACAGAAATGAGCAATTTTGGGTGTAGTCCAGTCCAGAATCTTCTGAAATTGCTAGAACTGTAGAATTATGCAGAATGATGCAGATCATTACATAAAAAGTGAAAAAGGTTTTAACAAAATAAATGCCGAGAATTCGATTTTGTATATAATACAGTAGATAATATACGTAGTAATAATAGTTCTAATCCTAATGCAGTAATACAGTAATATCAATAAAAATTTCGGCTTACCGGTATATCCGGAAATTTTAGATTACACCCTGCAGGGGTTCAGAATTATTTCTGCCAATTGAATGAAAATAAGAAACTAACCTCATTATTAAAGAATAATTTACAATATGAAATTATTATCGCGAGACGCGTAAAAAGTCTTACGGAATTAGAGTTAATTTTATAATTTATTATTACTGTTCACCAGGGGTGAAATTTAACAAAATGCCAATTCTTGGGGGGTAAAAAAAAAATGACGCAATTTTATGTTAATGTTACTCCTCTGTATTTCATGGATAAAAAAAGGTTCGAATAAGGTCGAATAGCATATATAGCACAATATAGACTATATAGCATATATAGCACTATACAGACTATATAGCATTATATAGCACTATATAGCACTATATAGCATTATATAGCATTATATAGCACTATATAGCATTATATAGCACTATAATAAGCATATAAATGCGTTTATAGAAACTTTTCCCATCCACAACAGAATTAGTGGCGAATATCACGCCTTAAGAATAGTAAACAAATGATCAGAGCTTAAAATAATCGATAACCTGTTTGGAAGAAGATAATCAAGGAATAGGAGTCAATTATACAATCTAAACGTAAATATATCGGAAACGATACATACAACGGTAATACCGCATGATTTTTTACTGCTAAACATGTTAAGCACATAAAGAAAAAAGAAAAGAAATAAAAGAGATAAAAGAGATAAAGAAAATAGATCAAACGATTTTTTCATACGATTAAAAAAATTGATTTCAAAAGCTAAAATGATATTAATGATATTAATGATATATATTAATGATATATATTAATGATATTAATTACAAATTAAATATCTTTTTTTTTTCTAGACGAACGTTATGCATACGAATTAGGTAAATTGCTAATGCAATATTTACGTGTAACTTAGCTTCCTATTCGAGAACATTCATATTTTTTTATTTATTTACTAACTATTATCGTTTACGCCATTATTATTTTTTTTATCGTTATCGTTCGACAAAAAGTTGTTGAATTCGATGACCAATCAAAAAAAATTATCTAATCTTATCTTTCGAATAAGATAACTTATTTGAGAACACGTTTCGAATTGCGAACAATCAAAAGGTTGACCTACTCGGATGCAACTTACAATGTGACCAAAAAAATTAATTCATTAATGGTAATAAAAATAAAACAACGCCTAACATTCCCCGCGATTTTTCTTCCTTTTATGGTCGTTTATGACTCATTTGGAATTTGTAGATCTACCAAATAAATTTCTTAAGTCTAAATATGAGATGATTTTTTTTTTATAATTATTCATTGTTTTTTCCCCTACTTCAGGCGCTGATATCATGATTGTGCGCACAGTCTTCTTGAAAAAATAAATTTATCGCAGCTATTGATAAAAAATTTCCGATAATTGAATATTTTTTTATCTATTTAAAAAAAAAAAAAGAGTTATCTTGTACATGACCCGCACCAGATTCTGTACGCCTTAAAGATATTATCTTACATTTCATTTAAGATAACCAAATCAAATATTAGTCGGCAAAAAATCTGATAATTTATTTATGTATATGATTCCCTTAACAATAATATGCATGTTCCCATTCATTAAGAACTTTTTCAGCGTAGTACTAGATTAGATTTTTGATTGCTATATTACCCGTTCTTATTTTATCCATTCTTTTTAGTGGTCTCTCTTTCTCTCTTTCTCATTTTTATTTTATTTTTTTTTGTGTTATATGCCCTCTAATTTTCATATAAATAAACCAAAATTTCTTTTTTAAATAATTCATGAAAATAGAGGCAACTTCAATAAGGCCGAGAAAAAAAAAAAACTAACCTACCTCGTTTCTTACGAATTATTATTTTATAAAAAAAAAAAAAAAAAAACAAATTTTAATCATAAACTCAACTCCAAGCCTCTCTTAGTCTTTTTTTTTTTTTCTCTGGCCAATTCTATTCAAAGTTGACACAATGCATTCCACTCATTCGGCAGAATTAGAATTCAATTTTAATACAGGTAAAGTTTCGTTGCCTTTTATTCTAAAAATTTTATTATAAAAGAATTTGAAAGAAAAAGAATTCGTACAAACCCTTTGCTAACTCGTGCATGTCATATTAAACAACTGTTAGCAAGGAGATTACTTGTTTTCAAAGATCGCGCCAGATTTACTTTTATATTTTTAAGAATTCATTCTACCTTTTCAAATTCCAAATAGTTGGCACATGAATTAATTAGACTTTATTATATTTATTATATATTTATTATATATTTTTTATTATTTTTATATTTATAGAAAATTTGACATTCATCGAACAACACCCAACAAATTTTTTGCTCTCATCACCAATCACATCACATACCGTCAGTTCAATTCATGAGAGTCAAATTTATAATCAATTTAATAACGAAATGGAAATAAATAATGGAACGATGAATGTTGAATCTTATGAAACAATGTCTGGAGGAGAGGATAAAGAAAATTATGATGGTTACGATGGGTCATGCGAAACTGTTGATAAAAACGACGGGGATTTAGCCAAATTCGTTAACGAATTTTGTCAATTTGAAACTCGTGGTCTTGATTTAATACCTAGTTTAAAAAAAACTTATTATTATAACAGCTTGAATGCTTGCGCGGTAATTTTCTTTCTTTTTTTTCGTGTAATCAACTTTATGAGATTTGAATTCATATAATAACTAATAATAATTATTATTATTATTATTTATTTATTTATTTTTAAATAGATACCGGACGACGATAGTTACATAGATCCTTGTTTACAAAAAATTGATTTCATTATTCACTCATGGCTCGTTGATAAGTTATTACACACAAGTGAAAATATTCCTATTTTAGAGGAATTACCACGAACTTTAGCCGAAGATATAATGGCTCAATTAAGAAATGGTAAATGTTAATTATAAAAGTTTTAATAAAAAGGAATATTGTGATTAATTAATTAATTAATTAATTAAATAATTAATTAATTAATTAATTAATTAATTAATTAATTAATCACTTTAATCTTATATTATTATTCTTGTTTAACCAAGATAACAAAATATAACCTTTTATTTATGAAATATTATAGATTTATGTGCTTTTCAAGGTCTTTCAAAGGTGTTGATAAGCGTTCGAGCTGGACATGTTTACTTACTTCATATGAATGGGGACGAAATTAAAATGCCACCAAATGAAACGAGCTTCTTTCAACAGGTAAAAAAATATTATTAATTAATTAATTAATTAATTAAAAAAATTTTAATACGGAATTCATTAAACTAATTTGGAATTCGTTCTCATTATAACTTATTAAAAAAAAAAAGTTTCCTTTATTCGTGGACGTCGCTATCAAGGTACAAAAAGCGTATCCTCACATGGCGCGTCGCAATTCGTGTCAGGTCCTTGTAGCGGTCGAACATGTGAAATTTAAAGTGGAAGATTGTGGTTGCACCAGCCATACTCCTCCAGACAATAATCCATGTCAACGAACATACAATACCCGTATGATCACTGCTCCTTATGTAGAGGGGCAGGTGTTTTGTTTGTTAGATAAGATGCTATGAACATATTAGGGAATATATTTATTCCCTTTTATGTACTTTTAAAAAATCATGCTAATCTATTTTTTTTTCACACGCGAAAGGAAGAAAATCACCCAAGCTCATGTGTTCTGTATACATAGATATTATTTTTTTATTTTTATTTTTTGTTTTTTTTTTTTTTTTAACTTATTCGCTATTATTCGCTATTTTTTTTTTATTATTATTTTTCCGTAAAAATTTGTTTGTTTAATTCCATCTTATTTTTTATTTTGAATCTATGAAAATTTTCGTTGATAATTTTCATTATATATGCTTTAACAATTCCCATCCATCACATTTTTCTCGTATGTTTAAGATTCCTCTCTTAAGGTGGTGTTGGTAATTCTATGACATTATTGTTTTTTTTAAAAAAAATTATGTATAATTAAATAAAAACATAAAAACAAACGTGAAACAAGGAACCATTAATTTATAAATACAATCGATCTTCCATAAATGTACACACCTTCTTTAAATGCACATTTTTTTTCCTATTTTAAATGCACATTATTCTTTTCTCGTTAAATGCACTTTTTTGAAAACTTGGCTCACTCTGGGGATCAAATATATATATGCACTTAGAGAGTGTATGGTATGCACTTAAAGAACTATACTATAGCTACCAGATTTCTCTATGTGCATTTATAGAAAACATATTATAGTCAGACCTATATAAATGCGTATACACACTCATGCTGGCCTTGACTTTTATAAATGCATTTTTTCTTATTATTCTCTAAATGCCAAGCGCGTGTGCACTTAGAGAATTCTGACGGTATATAGAGCTCTTTTATACCCTGGTAACTATATCAAGATCGCAGGGCATAAATCAGTTATGTCCTGGGCACTATGTGATAAGCGGGACTTTCAGCCCCGCTTATACCCAACTGCCCAGGAAATAACTATTACATAGATAAGTTGGGACCAAACTATGCTGTGCATTTGTAATAAAAATACCCTGAGCCGTTGGGTATTAGCGGAAACGAAGTTTTCGCTTGTACACATAAGGATCATACTAAATACCCCGTGATCTTGATATAGTGATCGGGGTATTTCAGTATTTAGATAGAATTATATACTACAGTCTACCCTCGTTAATATCAACCTAAGCTATAAGATACATCAATTTTATTATAATCCCTTGTTAATATCACTATCAACTAATTCAAATAGGTTGATATAAACGAGGGTAGACTGTATATGCATTTATAGAGAGTGTATATAGCACAAAGTTCAAAGCATATAAGGAGGGTGTACTTTATTTTATGTTTGACGTTCTAGGAATAAATTAATAATTTACTGTATTTATCAATATTTAAAAAAGATTCGTTTTCGATCGATTTGAATTGGGTTAAACAAAGTTTAAAGTAAGTTATTATTATTGGAAATGAAATCGATTAAAACATAAGTTTTCTATAATCGATTAAACATAAGTTTTCTATGATCGATTAAACATGAGTTTGTATGCTAGTCATTTATCTCGAGTTAGCGCGTTCTAAAGAATTAGATGCTACTGTCAATGCTTTCTACTATATAGTGCCACGTTTAAAGTTGGTACACTAAAATAGAACCATATTTTATTTATATAAATTTAATTTATTATATTCATTGTATTCATTGTAATTTATTAGATAATGCTCAAATATATATTTATTATATAACGTATATATAATATATACTTTAGGTTAGGTATAAAAATAGCTTTTAAAAAAAAAAAAAAAGTACGCGACAATATATGAAACCAGGTAATACCAAATAGATAAAATTAGTTAATTAAAAATCGGTATAGTTAAATTTGCATGAATTTATTATTCTTTTTTTTTTAAAAAAAAGCGATTACAAATATATATGCAATATCTAGTTGTTTTTTTATAAAATAGCATGACAAAAAAAGTCTTTGGCATTAATGCAGTTAAAAATTGCTTAGGTAGATCTTGTGTGATTGAATGCAAGATGCAAATTGCAAATTAGATCTGATGTATTTTTTTTTTTAACAATAATATTTTCAATATTGTGGAGCGTGAGAGTGTACTAACATATGTTGATGACTAGTACAGTACATACTGTTGAGCATGATACAATATTAGCATGAACACATGGTATTGCATTATTTTCACATAAATTACAAAAATTTTCTTTCGTCCTAGACTTATGCAAATTAACCAAATTTTAACCACACACGACGTCACCTGGTTTGCCGTTTACGTTAATTTTTCGCACGATACGTAGAAAAAAAAAAAATTCAAATGTTGAAATAGCCGCGAAAAAAAACAAACTAAATTTTATATCAATCAACCTATATGATTTAGTAATAATCACGCGTGTTTGTAACTATCAATATGAAAAAAGAAAAAAGAAAATCTTTTCTCAAAATTTAATTGATACTACAGATACTAAAAAGAAATCGTCGATCTTTTTTTCGTGTCCAACTGTCATTTTTTAAAATGTAATGTAATATTATTTATTTATATTAAAAAAAAAGTTTAACGTGTGATTTTCTGTTTGTAAACCATGCACTTGTTTGACCCCGAGTCATTATTTTATTCAAAAAAACTGATCCATTCCATATTTGTATAAGCAATTCAATTCGATACTTCTAGAAACCGTTTCATTTTCCTTTATCAACACAAATATTATTATCAATAACCTTTTGGTGAATATCGTGAATTTAGTGAATTTAGTGAATTTAGTGAATTTCGTAAGAATTTTTTGACATGTGTTTGTTAATATTTTCTTTAGATACGTTTAGGAAATGATGTTCTCACGGGAAATACCACGTTATCAAGGTAATTCTAAAGACCTCAGGTGATTTGCATGTAATCAAAAATTAGCCTTTGCTAATCATCGGAACAAAAGCGATCATGCACATTATTTACTATCATTATGATGATAATGCGTTAATTGTTTATCAAACAAAGACATCTTTGTATAAGGAATACCGAGATTTCTATAATAGGGTTATCTCTCACGATGATTACGATGATTATGAAAACATAAATCTAAAACTTTTTACATACATGTGATCTTTGCCGCACGTCCTAAGTAGGAAATATGTCAGATACTGTAAAATGCAAGAAGATGCATTTCACCACAATCAACTGTAGTTTCTCAGCATATCGAAGATGTAAACGCAAACAATTCAACAAATCTATCCAAATTAAGCTTTTGATGATGAGAGTTTATCTATTAATGAGTTAGCGAGCACTGCATCCTTTAGAGTTCCATTAGTTTTTCTTTTCTTTTATTTTTGACATGCTTCTTTTTTTCTTTTATTTTTGACATGCTTCTTTTTTTTCTTTTTTTTTTTGACAGGTTTTTTTTTTTGTTTTTTTTGTTTTTTTTGTGTAATTAAAAATTCATCAACGTAACAAAACCTTCTATTATTGTATTATCCAAGACTGTGTAATCGATGTAATAAAACCAAACTTTGAGTTTATCTTTTCTTTTTTTTTTTTTTTTTTGATAATTATAGCCTGATCTTCAAAGCCAAAGGGCATTTTCGGGCGTACATAATGTGATGTAAGCTATACTTGTCTAATCTTATTTTAAAAATCGATAATTTTGTAACCTATTATGTTCATTAATCGTTATCTTTATAACGTGGTAAACTAAATTGGAAATTTGCTATTATCTCTAACATAATTTGTCGTCATAAAATTCCTTTATATCTATCGTGATACGTTGCCGCGTAGATAGGGGAAAAAGGATGCAAAACAGAAGCTTTATCTTGTCCATTATAAAACAATATGTGAAACTCACTGAAAAAATTATTTGATTATGATAATAAAAATATTATATTCTATTTACAAAATAATGAATGAACAATACGAATTAATATATATATATATATATATATATAAACTCTTGTCATTTTCAACAAGTTAAATGCAAACCTTTCAATATGTACAACGTTTTAATAGCACGTTAACTTGAAATGTTGAAGGGTAGGTATTGAAATTAATGCAATTTTTTTTGAGACTTTTCAATACTAATTTTTTTGGAAAATGCACGCAGATTGTTATGTACTGCATATTCATGTGAATCTTTTAAAAAAACCTATAGATAATGCTCTTATATATTCATTCATTCATCCATTTATTTATTTATTTTATTTTATTTTATTTATTTATTTTATTTATTTATTTATTTATTTTATTTATTGAGATTTACTGTATAAATTTTTGCTACAAAACTTATTTTTTTAATAAATAGCACAAAAATGACTTTCGTTTCACCGAACTCCAAGAGCTTCCACAATCCTAGCCTAGCGAAACGTCACGTGATTTACCTTAATAATGTCAAGTCTCTCAAAAATACTACTTGACCCTTCAACGGTTTCTCTTAATGAAAATTCATGCGAAACTGATTCTGATAAAAAACAACAAAATCCTACCGATAGGTGCAAAAGTGGTCCTCGTCCCTACCGATGTATGACCTGTTTCATGGGTTTTAACAGGTTAGAACATCTCAACAGGTAACTAATTGTTAAAAAAAAAAAAAAATTAATTGGTAATTCGTCTCTAATTCGCCTATGAAGGGGATATATTGGTGATTAGTAATTTGTCTCTAATTCGCCTATGGTGATATATTATATGACACAGATTTACTATGTTTTAATATATATTTTACTATAACAATAGTAAAATAATAAAGTGCTTATTTCATCAAGGAACGATCAGGCGAATTACTAATTAAAAAAAAACTTGATCTTGTTTTTTGTATAAATGCTACATCACGATTTGCAAAATGTATCGTGTAACCAATACCTAAGATTCCTAAAATTCCTAAAAATCCTTAAAAATCTCCTAAAATCCCATAAAATCACATAAATCACATAAATCACATAATTTTCTTTGGTTATAACTTTATTATAACTTACTTTATACGTATAATATAGATTTATTTATTTATTTATTAAAACACAAAGTTATTCTCAACTACAGTCAAGTATAAAACGTTATAACAAAAATTGAATGTATCATACAGTCAATTTTCTATATAACGAACTGATATATTTCTGAAATTAAAAAAGTTTAGAAATCTTGTCGAGATAGTGTTACACAAATCACTGTGATTATCGTTATCGAAGATCTACATACTTATTTGGAAAACGTGATGAAAAATTGTGATACAAATCTTCAACCTGAAAAAACACGAAATATTTAATAAAAATTTATGTGAATTTTAAAATTAGGCACACAAGGACTCACACCGGAGAAAAACCACATCATTGTACTTTTCCTGGTTGTGAAAAGAAATTCTCACGATCAGATGAACTTACTCGTCATCGAAGAGTACATGATAATACATCTAGAAGAAGAGATCGCAACCGAAGGATGGTATCCGTGTCGTTTCGCAACACTACTTATCTTATCAATCAAGTACATGAAGGGACGCCCACAACTACCTCTCGCACAATCAGATATATCTTTACTGAAACTACCACTCATTCTTCTCCTAATTCTTGGTCCAAATCTTTTGATTGTCCTATCAATGGGTGTACTAAATCTTTTACTCGTTATGGTCATCTTTCGAGGCATATTCAATCTTGTGAATTAAAGCGACTTCGTAAGGAATCTGTTAATAAAAAGGTCCAACCTCCAAGTCAACCTACTTTACGTAGCAGTAGTTCTCGTAGTAACAGTTCTTCTGATACTGATATTTCACCAACATTAAGACCGTTACGAGGACCTTTTAACAATAATTCCAACAGACCTTGCCCAATAGAACCTGGATCTTCGTGGATGCCACCGAACCCATTGATATTACAGCGAACTTCATGTCTTCGTGAAATTTTTCATTCTCCAGTGGAAGCTACTAATCGTCGTCAACTACCACCTTTAATTAACGGGTATTCGACAAATCAATTCGTACAACATTCTCCCCTCCCTAATAATTTTTTTTAACGTTTTCTTTTCAAAAAAAAAAAAAAAAAACAATCCAAAAAAATTATAAAAAAAATATAAAAAAAATATGCAGATAGCCACTTTATGTGATATGTGATTTATGTTGTGATTAATTACGGGAATTCCCATAAGTTTAAAAATGTAACACGGTGTGTGTGTTCGTTCGAAAACAAGGCTGCAAGCGATATATTCTTTTAACGTTTTTTTAACCTTTCTTTCTTACTTACCCTATGCTTATTAGTTTGCTTATATTGCTTATTATTCTCCTCATCTTCTCTTTTTTTTTTTTTTTCTTGTAATTTTTTCGTAGCCGTAAAATCAAAATGTACATTATATCGTTACTTTTCTTTTCTTTTTTTTATTATTAATATTTTTCGATAATTTTGTAAATTATGTTTATTAATCCGTTTTTAATTTGCCCGCCCACCCATCCCACTTGGTTAACAGAATTCTTTAAATTTTATGAGAACTCTAAACATAACCATCAATAATAATTCATGAATTATCAAGGTTCATTATTTTTGTTTATTTTCATCTTTAAAAAAAAAAAAAAAACAAAAGAAAAATATTGGATAATACGTTCTCTCTCATTGTTCCATAGTTTTCTTGTGTTGTGTTCTTTTTCCAATTTTTTATTTTTTATTTTTTTTGTTATTTTTTTTTTAAAGATTTTATGATAATGATTATAATCATTTAATTACCCTTTTAAAGCTTTCAAAAAAAAAAAAAAAATCGTTTACTATATGCAAATAAAGTCGCAACAAAATTTTATTTACCTATAAAGGAGATAATTATTAATTTAAACCTGTGACATATAAATCATGATCAATATAATATTGTATATTTTCCAGTAAAAAAAAGTGAAATGGATTGGCAAATTTTCTTTATTGAATATCTTACTTAATCATCATTACTACAGTACTACATTGACTTTTTCACGAGTTTAACAGATCTTTGAAAAATAAATCAATAAGTCACTTTGTTTTACTAAATGCCATGAGATGTCAAATTATGCCATGCGAAAGCTGTGTCATTAACAATGTAGCGCAAAAATTATTTTTTTATCAAGTACAAATATAAAAAATGCCAATATAAAAAGTGTCAAAAATAAACTTGGTAGGTAATTATTAATGCGAAGATCAAATGATCGCGTCAAACTTTCAATTGTAACTTACGCGTTTCGTATACACGTGACTTCCTAAAATGCATGTTACGTAATATTGTTTGTACACCTTTCAACTTTAAGCATTTTAATATTTTTAATTCACATGCTTATATTACATAATGTGTACGTACCCATCAATCAAGCTGTAACCTGCTATCTGTTATCATGCCATTATTTCTATTATTTTCCCCATTGTCCGGAGCGAAGACGTTTTACTAATCCACATATAATGAATGTTTCATTAAAGATACCAAACCAACTTTCTTAATCAGGTAATATTGATTACTTATCAATGTTCGAATTTTGATATTACAAAGAAAAAACTTGATTTCATGATCGCTTCCATAAATGGGAAATCATTTCAATTTATGCACTCGCTTATCAAAGACTCACGACATATCCTAATTAATCCTAATTAAGCTAATCTATTAATGGATAATGCAAAAGAAATTACTGTTTGGAATTTTATACAGGTCTTATTCAAGAATTTTACTTTTATAGATTACAGTGTACTATTAATGAGTTTGACGGCTTTATCGATAGAGAATGAGTATGCATTTAAACAATATATATTTTGAAAACAGTTTAATTGACGCGTATTGCTTTGTTTAGCGTATACCTATCAGTTATTTGTGCCCGTAACACAAACATATGGGCTGTCGTCAATAGAAATCAAGCTGATTGATATTTTTTTTAAAAAAAATTAATTCCTTAACTTTTTATAATTTATATCTCGGATGAATTTTGAGGTTATCTTGACGAATTAATATTCAAAAAGAAAGTTTAAGATCTAAACTTTCTTTTGAATATTAATTCATCGAGATATAAGCTGTGAAAGTTAAGAGATTAATTTTTTAAAAAATGACGGCAGCCCATATATGGAATAGATCGACGTATTCAAAAAAAACGCGAAAATGTGTGTCTCAACGTAGAGGCACTAATTAAAAAGTGTCAGGTATGATATTGCATATAATACACACACTATTTCTTTATTTCTACTTGCTCTAACTGCTAATTTGACTTTGTTAGTAGTTTTGCGTATTAATCTTATGTCGATCTATTCCATATATGGGTGTAAGTATAATTTTTTGTGATAGGTTGATCACACATTTCCTATTACAGTCTACCCTCACCAATAGCTATAAGATGATTTTTACAAATTTTCATATATTAAAATTCCCTCATATATAGTAATTGTACTCGAGTCAAGTATTACTCGGGTAACAGCTACTCGGGTAAGTACACCCGAGTATTACCCGGGTGAATATACAAAAATAATACCTGGGTAGACATACCCAAGTATACTCAAGTAGATAAACCCAAGTACTACTCGAGTAAGTATACCCACGAGGTCACAAGTTTTTTTATTTTTATTCAACTTATTAGAAGTTATTTAATCGCTACAAGTTCTAAATAACTACACTCAATTCAAATATATAGAATGCATTTAGATCCAAATTCAAATTTTAATTAATACCTGTATAAAGCTTCAAATTTGAATTTTTTATGCTACAGTAAAAGGTATTTTGTTACATCCACTCCAAGTTTTCGGAAGCTTTTATGCTCGTTCAAAATCTTTAATGTCATCTAACATTTTTTGAATAGGTTTAAGGTTCGATTTAATACTTCGAACCCATTTTTTTTGCCCATTTTTTTTGTTTGGAAAGATTATTAGACTTTTTATGCGCCTAAACTATAAAATCAATAATAAATTTATTTAAACATGGAAATATAATGAAAAAAATTTTTTATACCTCATGAAGAATTTTCTTAAATTTTCAGATTCGGATTCACTATCTTCTGAATTTGCCAGATCGATCGTTAAATTGACTTGTGTAATTGATTAAGGTTGATATTTGAATATTTTACATGAAGTTTTTTAGTTTCCGTACTGAGAGGATTTTGAGAATTGCATTGTATCTAAATTAATATAATATTAGATTTAGAAATTTTAAACCATAATATAATGACAATGAACTTGCAAAAGCTTCATCTATGTTATTACTGAAATATCTACAACCATCTCAAAATTCATATACATATTGCTTTTTCCTTCAATATCCATAAGTTTTTCATAAACTATATATTCAAGCACTTCGGATTTTATAGCATTTCTTTTTGCATACGAATATCATTTACAATTTGATCCTCACGTTCTTGTTTTTTGCTTTCATTTACACGGGTTGTACACTTTAAAACCATGATTTATTATCATTCTGAAATGCAATTTTTGGTTTCGTAATTCGACAAAATGAACAAAGTTGTGTGTTTATTTTAGAAAATATTGTATTACGATATTCAAATAAATAAAAACTTTCATTGTAAAATTTGTTATTATTAATCTTACATATGTTATTCATTATTATTGTAGAAACCATTAATTTTAATATCGGCAATAAATTTAAGCTCCGTTTACATAACTGATTTTGGTGGCGATACTAGGTGTGTCCTAATCTAATATTATTTGAATAAGGAATTCAATTTTATTTAGCAAAAATAGTTTAATTGGTTAAATAAGTTCATCATACCGAACAATCTGATTGGCAGCAACTGCACAAAATTTCCGGGTGATGTAATGTGATTTTCCTCTGAAAGTGTTTTTTCCTAACCGGAACTTAATAAACACTTAATAAATCATAGCCGGAAGTCGTTATGATAAACGACGGAGATTTTCCGCCCGTTGAAAAATCGGGCGGAAAGTGACATCATTAAACGGAAATCTCCGGTATTATACAATAAGATTTGTGCTCTGCTGCATTCTGTGCAATGCGACCCTTGTTCCATGATATACTACTGCATTTTATTAATGCTATACATAGTATAGCTAACATAGTATAAAATAACACGTGAAAGTTGATTTTAAAAATCATACAACAAAGAGTAGTGCTTGTAGTCGATTTTGCATTAGCCGATAAAATCGGCTTAGCCGGCTTAGTCAGCTGATTTTTCAAAAAATCGACTTAGTCGATTTTATGATAGGTTATTAAAAATTTAGACCAGTTTATAGTAGAATTCGAAGATTTTCGAAAAGAAAATCAATGAACATAAAATACGAGCAAAATTGAGACAAAAAATTGAGGAAATCTCCGGTAACTTCCGAAGTTTAATCAAATGGAATTTAGAATAATCGACTCTGACTTAGCCGGTTTAGCCGATTTTTAAATATCGACTTAGTCAAGTTGATAAATAATAGTCGACTGTAAACACTAACAAAGAGTAATAATCTATATTGATTTGATTTTACATATTGATTATCAATTCATGACAACATTAATGTGAATGATTAATAATTGCAAATGATCATGCAAAATCATCTCACATACTGTATATCTACATATGTAAGTTTTCCCACATTCAGGTCACACATTTCAGATATAACCAATCAATAACAATAAAGCATACAGACCCAGAATTGAATGATAAAAATAAAAGATGACCAAATGTCGTAATTTTATTCACATTTTAGATTACATTTTTGGATCTGATCCAATCAAAAATGTTAAAGCGTACAACCCAAAATTAAATAAGAAATTCTTCGTTATAACATTTCATTTTAGCCTTTGACGATCTGTGATTACAGGGTGGCAAAAAACCCAAACAGAGAAAAAAAGAAAAAGAGAGAAATATCGAAAACAGGTATAATACTATAATAAACTGCGCGATTTTTACACAAAAATAAAAAATGTTGTACAATCGTGGCTTTTTTACCATCTTGCAAAAGCAAGAGCAAGCACAACATCAACATCAACATCAAGAGCAAGCACAAGAGTATAAACAATACACAATGCTTTCAAGTTTGTGATACAGCAAATTTCTTTTTATAGGGATTTTCCAAGCGGGGTTCACTAACTTGAGGTGTTAATAATTAAAAATTATGTATTTGATTTATTTGATTGGCTAATTATCACGGGTAGATCAAAAATCAACCAATCATATGAATGTCTTCCTATGAGGGCAATTAAATTTTGACCACATATTGACCAATAAATTCTAAATTATAAAAAAAAAAATTCTTTTTAACTTCTAATTTATATAAAAAAACGCGCCAGATCTATTTCACACTATCTAACCTATTTGAACACACCTCTTAGACATAGAAATTCAAGCACCGTAATTTGAAAAGCGATGCAATAATATTTTGAATTTTTTTTTTTTTTTTTAAACTTTTTGGAACTTGTTGAGATTTGTGCTATTCCAGGATTTTGGTATTTCAGGATTTTGTTTATCGGGATTATTTACCGTTGGATTATGACCTCGAGCAATTGAACCAAGCCCATAATCCAAGCCCATATCATTAAAATCCAAATTCATAATAAACATCCGTTCCGTGTAACTTATACTACGCTCAAGCTAACTTATTATGACTCACCTCAAATCAATGTTCATTTTTCACGTGCGCAAAAGTGTGCGCACGTGTACGGATCCAATCAAATTGCTTTATTTAAAATTTTGATTGGATCCGCACACGTGCGCACACTTTTGCGCACGTGAAAATAAACACTGCCTCAAATCCTGGGCGTGTATACTTGACCGTTTTATTGCTAAGATATTATGTGAATATTATGGTATTTAGCAAAAAGATAAGTTTAATAAACAAATGAGTGGGAAAAATAATATTAAGCCAATTGAATTTATAAAAATAGTTAAAAACTTTATAAATTACTGTAAATTAAATTTAATATGTACAGTATATATTAACATATAATTCGCAAAATTTATTATATTAAGGGGTTTCAGAATTAACTTATTTCGAAAATAAGTGAGAGTTAAAAGATCATATTTTCTGTTTTAAAAATCATTAATTCTGAATCCCCCTATTATTTATTTAAATTTGATTGAAAAATAAATAATATTGAGCTTTTGAAATATACGCAAATAGATAGAATTCAATTAATAGGGGGCTTCAGGGTTAACTTGCTTCAAAAATAAGTGGGAAATAAAAGGGAGTTTAAAAGATTCTATTTCTGGTTTAAAATCCCGCATCAATAATTAAATGCGGAGCCGATGATAAAAATAGGCTTTTTTGATAAAAACCACCTAAAGATTTTAGAATAGAGATTTAATATCACTATACTAACGTATCTATCTATATTCTAATCATGCACATTATCTACTTAACTTTTGTACAATAATAAATTAATATACTGGTAAGCATAAACTATCTTGATTGTTTATTTAATGTAAATACAGTATATTGTAATATAAATACCGTAAAACTCGGAAAATAAGCACATACGGTGAATAAGCACCAACATAACAAAAATTTATGTTCCATAAATAAGCACCGTCAAATAAAACTTTAAAATTGCGTTATCCGGTGATCATAAGACTGATCAATCATGTTATCTGTTTTCAAATAACTAGTGAATAAGCACCCCATTAATTAAAAAAATGGTGCTTATTTTCAGAGTTTTACGGTAATTGAAGTTCTCAAACGATTTTAATCATTTTACATTATGAATATAGTGTTTTAATGCTTATATGATAAAGCATGATACTGTAGTTTTTCAGTGCTTTTATGTTTATGTAAATAAGAACTTGATAGTTTATACAACTTTTAATCCTGCAAAATTTGTGGCTAAAGTACGAATTTACGAGTTTGTAAATACGTGATAAAAAAAAAAACATTTTGTGCGTACAATATAAAGAATCTATTTAATACTCTTCCTTATCACTATACTATATCTAAACTAGACAACTATTACTTTTTGAAAAATAGAAATAATAAAAATAATAAATAAATTACATGCACCTATTCTTAAAGAGCATTTATTTCTTTATAAAGTAATGGGTGGCGCAGGTTGGTAATGTGGAGCATTAAAAATAATTCAAGAAACAAGATTTTTAACAAGTGAATCGACTAAGTAAGATTATTGGAAATGTCATTTTTTAGATAGTTTCAAATTTTGATACGATTTGGTATTTTCATTAATCAGCTTTTACATTATTTATCTTGGGCAGAAATTTAGTTTTTGTATCAAAATGTATAACACAAAATTTGATTACCAAAATTTGAAGATAAAAAACGACATTTCCAATAAATTTACTTAGAGGGTGAAATTCCATTTCGTTTAATAAAAAATCGTGTTTTGTATTGAATAATTATTTGCTAAAGAAAATTTATGTTTATAATGTATTATACAAGGAATATCGATATACTGTATTAATCACTATCGTTTTTGGTCTATGTTTTCATGGCTTTATTTTTTTTATTTTTTTTTAGTTTTTTTTAGTTTTTTTTTTTTATTTGCTTTCTGTACATTACTGCATTTTGCTTCTATTTTTTATATAATACAGTAGATCAGCCTCCCAATTTAAAATTTTCGAGTAATAAAATAACACGTATTTTATATTAGTTTTTTTAAAAAAAAAATTTTAATAATTAAAATACATTGATGGAAGTACGTACAAGTTTACAAATTTTGTAAATGATCAACTCTTTTGAAAAATTTTATTACCAGTTGTTCTAGGTGCCGCACAAAAAATGCGCGGCAGATCCTCGATTTTGATTGGCTAAAAAATTAAGCCGAAATTACTCATAATTTTACTAATGAAATCGCAGCCGCTCATTAAGTGAAAATTGTTCCTGGGTCAATTTTACCCTAACGCGTGCTTATTTTTTAAAATTTTCTATTTTTGTAATGAAAAAATTAAAAAGTTAATTCCGGCCGGAATTTAGTAAACAATTTTG